CCGCCTCCTCCATCTCCCAGAGAGAACCTGTAGCAAGTTGTCTATGACAAATTCTATTTGGAACAGGTCCCTTTGAGATCTTAATTTTACTCTGTGCCCCCACAGGTTTCCAACAAAGCCAGCTAAGAAGGATGGAGAAAGCTCCCTCAGAAGCTACTGGTTTTACCAAAATATTTATTTTCTCAGGTTCCAAGCCAATCTGAAGCTAGGCAAGAAGAGTAGCAAATCACAAGTCTCTTATATTAAGAGGTTAACTCAGAGAGTTATCATTTTACATAGCATCTCTTGCTCATTTTTGTTTTGCTCTATTCACATTTTTAACCTTCCCAAATGTATTAAGTTGGTCTTGGCCCAAACAGATTTTAATTACCAGTGAGGAGCTGGGTCATGGGACCTTACATGCCTGGTGGGTCTGGTTGCTCAGTCTAACACTGGGTCTTTGAATGGGCTTGTTCATGCTTTTCTTTAGCTACTAGACATGCTTTTCTTGCTTTCAGCTAGAACAAAAGTGCAAACTGTTCTTTTCCCCATAGCGAAGTCCATATTCATAAAATATACTCACATTTCATCCCAACATGCGAAACATGCTCTTCTGGATGCTACAGGATCGCCCTTTTGGAGTTAGCTTTCTATTTGATCTTAAATACATGGTTCAGTCTTGCAAAAATAAAAAGAAATAGACTAGTTAATGATTTTTCTGAATGAATATCTCCAGAATCAAAATTGTCTCACTGATTATTCTTATGCTGTTTTCCCTTTGACATTGCTTTTGAAAGAGTTTTATTTAGTTAAAACCTGTATTACCCTCAGAAAAAACTTTTAAGCAAAATTTTATTGACATGAATTCTAATTTTTTACCCCAATATAGCTGTTTCCTACAGAGCCAAAAAAGAAAGACTAAATCCAAAATTCACCCAGCATATTAGGAAATGTATTTAGCATTATGCTTTTCTTGGATACAGAGCTGCCTTGATATGTAATAAATTTTTTGCAGTCATCAAGTGATGGGCTCCCACATGTTTTGATCTCAAGCATAGATCTTTTAAGGTTTTTTGAAGTGTTGTTGGACAAAGAACCTTTGAGTTTTTGTCTTCAAGTATATTTACCAGATTATTTTTGGCCAAGTCCCCTTTTTGAAAGTTGTTATATACCTCCTTTTACATAAACCTGAATATTATTTCTAGCTCATGCTTTATTAACCTAAGCTTCGTTCATTTCTCCCTGGAATATCCCTTTAATAGCTTGCCTGTACCTCAGGTTGCCCAATATTCAAATTTGCTAGAATATATACCTACTATGTACCCACAAAAATTAAAAAGAAAATTTAATCTGCTGGAACAGTTGAGTTATTTTAAATTGTCAAGGAGATATATAAGGTATTTGGTGAACTCTTGTTAACTCACTCTCAATCCTTTGAAGGTCATTGGAAGAGGTCCCTGGTTTGAGTTGTACTAAGTACTTAGGCTAGAAAGCCTAAGGGTTTTAGTTTCTGTGCATATTATTGACAAAGAAAAAATGTCATTGTGTTATATACCTCTGGGTGATTTTTCAGAGGTAGTAACAGTCAGCTCTGGAGCCTTTAACTAGGAATTTCAGTAATAAATTCTTACATCAAAAAAGGGCTATTCTTGTTTATCAAAAAGCAAAAACAGCCACCTAGTAATAGAGAAGTAAAACCATCTCCAGGTAGAAATAGAAGGATACTGTATGTTTGCAACTCAACAAGACAAGACAGTCAATGGTGGATTGTATGTTTCACCATGCCGTCATTAAACAGTTTGTTTATCTATTGCTATCTCCATCCTCCTGAGCTGAGCCTAAAATAATTTCTTATCAAGCTGAGGCTAATTGAGTTGTGGAACTACCTTCTTGGGATGAGGAGTTAGAGATCTAGTGCTGTGTCACATGGGAAGAAGAGTCATAAATTAAGGCGTGAGTTCTTTATGGGTTATATAACTGCTAACAGCTATGGAGTTGTGATACTTCACAGCTTCCAAGAAAAGCACTTTATTTAAAGAAAAAAAAAGGCAAGCAAATATACCATGTTGTATATTTATAATCTGAATGCAGATTAGTAACATCTGTCCTGGATGTGGTGTGTTTTCTACCAGTGCCCAGTCTCTGACGGGTTGCTCTTGGTTATGTTGTTTGTCCTGATTATGTATTGTTTTACACCTTTGTCCTTTCAACTATAGGATTTAGACAAGAGTCAAGAGGAGATCAGAAAACATCATGCTAGCATCAGTGAGCTGAAAAAGAACTTCATGGAGTCTGTACCAGAACCGCGGCCTAGTGAATGGGATAAACGCTTATCCACTCACTCCCCCTTCCGAACTCTTAACGTCAATGGGCAAATCCCCACAGGAGAAGGAGTGAGTACTTTGTCCACATGACCAATTGTGAAAATGGAGGGAATAAATGTTTTTATGTATTAATATTCTGTATCTGAGAGAAAGCTTAGAGCTGAAATTTGGATTTGGTGCCTCACTATATTCATTGCTGCTTTAAGGCATTTGTAATCAAATACTTACTTTTTTTAAGTCATATAGGCTACCCAGTACAATTGTAGGAGCCATTTGGAGCCACCAGGAGATGATTAGCCTCTGAGAACTATCTCTGCAGCTACATGCTTCTGGCTAATGATTGTTTATAAACTGACCATAAGCCAGTAGAGGTTTATTTGTATTCAAACTGTGCCTTCAGGGACTCGAAAGTTTACTAAATTTAGGAAGTCAAAATAGGAAAGAGATTAGTCTTTTTAAAAAGCTTTATTTGCTTTGGGAGGCCGAGGCGAGTGGATCACGAGGTCAGAAGATCAAGACCATGGTGAAACCCCGTCTCTACTAAAAATACAAAAAAATTAGCCAGGCGTGTTGGCGGGCGCCTATAGTCCCAGCTACTTGGGAGGCTGAGGCAGGAGAATGGCGTGAACCCGGGAGGCAGAGCTTGCAGTGAGCCGAGATCATGCCACTGCACTCCAGCCTGGGCGACAGAGTGAGACTCTGTCTCGGAAAAAAAAAAAAAAAAGCTTTATTTGAACATTTACACAACTTAGAAATATCTGAATGGTTCCCCACAATTATATAGTAAACCAAGGAGCCCCCTAAGCCAGAGAATTCAGAACTCCAAATATTAATTATTGTATTTCAATTTTAGAAAAACTGTGGGCTGGTCACCATGGCTCATGCCTGTAATCCCAGCACTTTGGGAGGCCAAGACAGGCGGATCGCTTGAGTCCAGGAGTTTAAGACCAGCCTGGGCAACATGGCAAAACCCCATCTCTACAAAAATTAGTCAGGTATAGTGGTGCGCACCTGTGTAGTCCAGCTATCCAGGGGGCTGAAACAGGAGGATTGCTTGAGCCAGGAGACCAGGGCTTCAGTGAGCCATGATTGCACCACTGCACTCCGGCTTGGGTGACAGAGTGAGACCCTGTCTCAAAAGAAAGGAAAAGGAAAACTATTTATTTTATCTTTATGAGTAACATTAAACTTTTAATACACTGTTGTGTGAGATAGTCACAATTAGAGCTCAGGGGCTCTTCTTTTTCTTTTATTGTTATCAGTACCTATTTTAGAAATCCTACATCTGGGCCGGG